TGTCACCTGGGGTGTACTGATGAAAAGAAGAGACTTACCTGCTAACCTTTTGCTTTTTAATTTTTGTATTTTTTACCTTCTAGAATCCACAGGTTTGATCTGGGGAACGTAAACCCATTCAGACTAAGATGGATTAACTGAAGCAGCTAAAAGATCTAGAAGAAATTTCCTGTTTGGTCATGGCCTACCTCCAAATAAAGTATCCCCGAAAGGCAAATAGCTGTCATACAATCAACTAAACATGAAATTATTTGAAAACCATGACCAAGATGTATGGTCCTTTATAAACAAATTGCTCAGATATACTGTGCACACCAGGTCCATCCTTTATGTTTAATCTGACTGTAACTAACTCTGATACCAGACAAGAGAGAAGGACCAGACAAAAGTAAATTCTTCAAATGAACTGAGGCACAACCCACACCTGTTTTCATGTGTACACAGAACCCTGGGCCACCTTCCACTAACTCAACAAGAACAGCAGCTCTGTGCACATTTAACAAGTTCAAACACTTCAAGTCTCAAACTTCTCTCTCACATTGGTCATGTAAGCAGTACTCTCCCTGAATACAGAACAGTATTAATCTATAGACAACATGGTTAATTAGCGGGCACATCAAATCTATGATGCTGATTGTAGTTACAAAATTTCAAACTAAAAAGTGTAAAAATGAAAAATGTTATCGAGTAGTTTTGGCCACAAGCCTAAGAAGTTACTCTGTAAAGCCTTCCTCAATAGTTTTGCTAAATTTATGGCATCACTTGGTTTTGGGTTAAGGAGAAAAAAAACCTCTCCAATCCATCATATAATTGCAAAACTTTGGAGGCTACTTGAAGTCTTCCTTTCACCTAATGCAGACAGAGAGGCTTCCATCTAGCCCTTTAAAGTATCCGAACCTTTACTACCTTTTTGGCAGAGGCGGTTATTAGCCAGGGGCCTTATAAAAGGAAGTAAACCACTATCAAAAACTGGGCCATAATTAGGCAAGATCCAATGGGCTGTGAGCAAGAGGTATTCAAACCCCCTTTCTCCTTCGAGGTAGGGAACTGACCCTGGATTAGCTTTCTAGCTCAGCTTCCCTGGAAAGCTGACAAAAGTGCACCAGCAGCTGTGTGACCAGGTGAGCCTGCTTCTGGTAAAATGCCCTGGCTGGCACCTTGTGTCCAGGCTGAGGGCTGTGAGTGAACGTGAGTGTCCGTGAGTGTCAGCTCGGGCTCCCTGAGTACAGTGTACCTCCTGTTACTGGGCCCTGCCCCTGGCCAGGACCTGCGGATGCTATGCACTGGGGACTGATCTAAGATGTAGTGGTCCCCTTGCGGCTTCTAAGCCACGGTGGCTCCTGCAACCTATGTGTGTAGTCTGTGGGGGCTACTGCAAGAATTCCCACAGAACTGTGCCCAAAGCCGCCCCCTGGCGTGGTGTCTTAATGTCCCATGTCCTTCAGACTACATTGGTGTGAGACATAGCCTATCCAGGGCTTTGGAGTTTAAATGTATATTTGAACCCAACACCAGCTATGACAGGTGTCACACATGCACTCAGCCAGTGTCTTCAGACACAACACAATCCCACATTAGCACTGAATAGGCACAGGCAAGGCTAGCAAAAGGGTACAGAATTAGAACCACCAAGACAAACCTTTAAGAAATGGTTCAAGACTTACAGGTATCACTGAGGTTTAGGGCAGAGAACAGCAGAGAAACGAAAGCATTACTCATGAAGGTATTGAATTTCAGTTAACATTTCTACCAAACTTAGCTACTAGTTATTGTGAAATAAAGGAATGAGGCATCATGGTACAGAGGGAAGGAAATTCACCTAGGAACTGGATCTGGGTCTCATTCTGGCTATGTGGCTCTGGATAAGGTCCATCAATATCTATATGGCAGAGAAGGGCAGGGGCATGGAGGCAGGTTCCATCATCCCCTGCTGTCTCTACTGACAAAACTACTCTCAGTTAACCCTGAAAATAAAAACACTAGAATCTTGCTCCTTCCGTTTTTGTCAAGTCTCGGGAAAAATCCTAAATACAAGAAAAAGCCTTATGTAAAAATGTTAACTACTGAATTATTTGTTACCCATAACGGAGAACGGAGAAATTTTAAAAACACCCAGATGTTGGGGCGCCTGGGTGGCGCAGTCGGTTAAGCGTCCGACTTCAGCCAGGTCACGATCTTGCCGTCTGGGAGTTCGAGCCCCGCGTCAGGCTCTGGGCTGATGGCTCAGAGCCT